GCCATTTCCCATTCCTGGCTTTGCTCATGCTGTCTTCACTGCTTGGCTGACTCAGCTCAAACGTAATTTCCACCTGGAAACCTTCCCTGCCTGCTTCTCCTCTCTCCCAGTTCTAAGTTAAATGCTTCCTTGGCTCTTCCACTGCACTATAAAGGGCTTAATTGCAGGACATACCACATTATAATCAAATTATCTGTGTAAGTGTGTCTTTCTGACCAGACTATACACTTGGAGGGCAGGATCCATGTCTTATCCACTTTTAACCACCTTCCCTCCCCTTATCACAGAGTCTGGTACATCGTAGCTGTTTGATAAATGTTTGTTGAAAACCAAACAGAAAGAAGCAAGATGGCCTGATTACAGCAATGGCAAGCAACTCTACTCATTAATTCAATAAATATTTCCTATCATGTGCGACACTGCTGGGAGCTGGGGAGAGTGGGGAGCATGAGAGACGTCACCCGTGTCCCACAGAGCCTACAGTTCAGCTTCCCATGGCTGGATGCAGAGTGTGAATGAGGGGGTCGTGGGGGTGCATCTGGAAGGTTGCCTGGGGCCAGGCCCTAAAGGGCCTTGTGTGCCAAACTAAGAAACCAAATTATATCAGGACTGGGAGGTGGGCAGGAAGGCCGCCAGGGCAGAAAAAGGTCATGGGACAGGTCAGCATGCTGAGTGCTCTATCCTTCTAGTGCTTTTCCCAAACCCTGAGCAGGTTCTCTCTTTTCTCCCCAGTGACTTGGGGCCGCACTCACCCATGGGCACAATTATTCCAATGACAGCAGCAGTGACTGTTGAGCCCATCTTGCCGCCTTCGTTCCCATCTGCAAAACACAAACATTTGCAGGATGATGTCTCTCATTTCTGGTGGTCTTTCTGGCCATCTGTATCATCAGTTCATTCGTAAAAAGTAATTAAAATGGGACACAGTATCATGTAGTGGAATCAAGAGCACAGGCCCCTGAATCAGACTTCTCGGGTTCAAGTCCAACTATGCTACTCATTATTTGTGTGCCATGGGCAAGTTATTATATATTATAAATATATTTCTTTACCTTTAAAATGGGATAGTGATATTATATACCTCCTAGGGATACTGTAAAGATTAGATGCGGTGATTCATGTAAAATGCTTACTTAGCTCCATGCCTGAAACAGCCTTGCTTAGTTCAAAGAGGGCAGGGAGGGCGGTAGGGTATTGTGAAGCCTAAATAAAGTCGGGTATATAAAAGTGCATTCTAAATGGAAAAGTGCTTGGAAAGTGAACCGTAGTTTTTAAAAAGTATGTCGTGTCATCTTTTCCACTCTCACAGCTATCTTCATTGTAACATTTGTACAGCACTTTGTAGCTTAGAAGGCATTTCTCCCTTGGATCCTCATGACAGCCCTCTGAGCATGAAGAGAAGCTATCATCTACTTTTGCTCCAAGAGGGGAGATGACTGTCGCCTAGCAGTGGCCCAGAAGCCACCCTCTCAGTGTGTCTATTTCTCCAGGTCACTCTGAGGGAGCCTAGCTATTAAGGGAGAACAGAGCTGCACTGCTTACAAAGCAGCTTCTGTGGCAACACGGCTGTCCTCACCCTCGGGGCCCAGCAAACACTGGATAAGCAACATTAAAGCCTGGAGCATGAAGAAGCCGGTGGGGACTCCTGCTCAGAGGCCTTGCCCTGGGTGAGAGGAACGGGAATTCACACATGGTCCACCTGCCTCTCAAACTTCCAGGTAGACGCTCAACTCTGAAAGTCCAGCTTGTGCTGGGAAGACAGGCCCAGTTAGAAAGGCTGCCGAGCTGCTGGGTCTCTGGGCCATGCGTGCATGGGGAAGTTTATTCTCTTAAATAAACTCCCCTTGGCAGGTAACTCAATTAAAAAGGTGTTTGCTGGTTAATGAGATAGAGCTTTTCTAGCAGTGATAATTACTGCTCCTGATGATTTAACAAGTGGTGAACTTAATTACTTTCATCCCAGGGTTTGGGAAGAGGCACAAGCAGACTAGTTACAGATATTACTATTGAGGGTGCTGAGAACTAGACCAGAGCTTCTGAAGTTTCCAACTCTAAGGGACACTCCCTCATATATGATTACATGTCAGTGACATGTGATACAGACACATCAGCAGAGGCTGTGGTGAGCACTTCCATTTACACGGTCTCCTTCGCCTCTCCTGGCAATCTCGTGAAGCAGGTGGGAGAAGGGTTATTATTATTTCGCTCTGTAGATGAGACTGAGGCTCAGAGACAGGAGTAGCTTCCTTCAAGACCCTCTGTAAGTTAGGGGCACCTAAGACTCCTAAATCGCAGGTAGGCACACTCTACCTCCTGTTGCTTCCTCCTTGGAGATTTCCAATATTCAGCTCTGGTATGATCTCTCCTTCCCACACATTCCCCCATTGTGACTTCCCACATCAGGAAAGAAGGCAGAACTCATTTCCTTACAGTGCTGGGAATGGTTGCTGGTTGCAGGGCTTGGGGTAGACGGGGGGATGCTGGAAGCGCTGGGGACATTAACTGAGCTCGGGACTGCAGCTGCCAGGCTTGGCGTCTCTGTGCTGTGATTCTGGTAGGTGGGGCTGTGGATGGTGGTTCCAGGGGCTCTTGTGGAGTCGGCTGCTGTCCCCGTCGTGGTAGAGGCTAACATCGTAGTTGAGGTAGATTGAGGTGCTGGAGGGGAAATACCATGGAGGTCACTTGGACAGAGAATTTTGTTGATTTAGTGCCTAAATTATTGCTTCTGTGGACTATACGTATGAACTTATCCTCATGGCTCAGCTCACGTGCGACATCTGTGAAGCCTTCCCTAATCCCCCTGCATGGGCTAAGATCTTTTCTTTAGCTGAATCCCAAGCACTGTGTCTGTGTTTCTACTGCATGCTGATTTGATAAAGGCGAGTGATTGTAACAATGCTGTAGAATCAGGTGTGGGCAAGACCACTGTAAAAGCCTGGGAGGAGGGGAAATCATATAAATCTAGAAGGATTTTACACACATACTATTATACCCTTAGGGTTAAACTCTCACTCCACTTTAAACAATTGAATCTGGAAATCATAAATGATATAGCAGACTTATGCTCAAACAAAAGGCCTTGGCCCTTCATCAAGACTCAGGAATGAATATGAATTTATAAGGTTGAAGTATGAACCATTAGTCCCAATCATGCCACAAAAGGGCTTCTATGTAGTGTGTTAAGTTCTGGGCAAGAAATAAGAAAGCTCATGGTCACCTGCATATAAACAGTGACTAATGCCATGTGGATCAAGGTTGCTGTTTTTAAAAATTTATTTATTTGAGAGAGAGAGAGAGGGAAACACTGATTTGTTGTTCCACGTATTCATGCATTCATTAGTTGCTTCTTGTATGTTCCCTGACCAGAGATCAAACCCGCAACCTTGGTGTATTGGGATGATGCTCTAACCAACTGAGTTACCTGGCAGGGCTGATCAAGGGTTCTTAATTTGAAGCCCTGCAGGGGTCCCAGAAAGCCCCTGAAATGAATCTAAAATGGCTGCACATGTGCATTTTGGGGGGAGTGAGAAGAGGAAAGCCTTGGAAGGACCCTGAGGGACACCAGCATTCAAGGAAGGTAAAGGAGAGCAGCCTGCAAAGGCAACAGATAGCCAGAGTAGATGGAGGGAAACCAGGAGCACAGTGTCCCAGAAGTCAAGGGAGGATTTCAGCAGGATGGGCCCTGGTAGGCCCACTTACCTCGGTAGCACCTCTTCATGTCTGGGCCCAGCCACATTGTGTCAGGACAGGCACAGGTGTACTTGGGAGAGTGGCTGGAGGTCTGAGGAGCAGGAAGGCACAGGTACTCACAGCCGCCATTGGGCTGGGCACTCAGCTCGCAGGCATCTCCAGCTAACGGGAGGGAGGGAGAGAGGAGGCACCTTCCAGCACTGTACCTGGTGTTTATCCCACTTTCATTTAATCCCAACACCAGCTCTCAGAGGTAGGTATTAGGCCCCAGATTGACAGATAAAAGACACCTAGGCTTTCAAGGAGAATAAACTTGTCAAAATACCTCTAGGAATTTTGGAGAGAGAATTTAAACTGAGGTCTGTTGGACTCCGAAGTTCATGTTTTTCCCCCATGCCACACGCCATTTCTCTTATTTAAATTCCTAGATCTGGAATCAGGCACCAACCTTATCTCCTTACCTCCCTATGTTTTCCCACCTTCCCCTGGCAACCAACCCCTCAGTTACAGTTAGATTTAGTATCTCCTAGTGACAGAGGAGGGGACAACCAAGTACCAGGAGTCCTGGCTTCTATTCCCAGCCAACAAACTGAATTACTGTCTGGCCCTAGGATGCATTATACTACTGTCAAATGGGTACAAATAATAAATGAGAAGCGATGTGCTCCTCATAGCAGAAGGAGCTCTGGAATCTGAGTTTAGATTTGAGTTCTGCCACCTGCTAACAATATTTTACCTCTTCCTCAATTGTTAAATGAAAACAGTAATACTCACACTTTGTAGGACTGGCAAAGAGGGCGTTTATGTTTTTATTTCTTTATACCCAGGCTTATTTCACCAAAAGCTTGCTTGAGATAAAATGAAATAAAACGTGTGCCAGCAAAGCACTCTGCCACTAAGAGGGGTTGCTGCCACTGTTCCCGGGGGGCTAAGACCTCACGTCACACAAACGTGAACCAGTCTGCCCAGTGGAGGGAGAGGACATGGGCAGGGGACCTAGGGCCGGGGAAGGCTCACCTCTGGGCTGCTTCAGCTCATGGAAGATGACAATGTCATGTGGGTTATTGAGATTCTCAGCCAGGATGGAGATTTCCAGGCCATTGAGCCGATTCGCACTGAAAATGGCCTCATTCTCCAAGTCTGTCCAGAACACCTTGTCCTGTGGGGTACAGATGCAAAGGATGGGAGGCCGACAGCCTAAACCCATGACCTGTCTGAGGGTTCAGCCCCATACTGTAGTCATAAGAGCCGCCCTGCCATCTCCCCTGAGCTCTCCTGTCCACCGGTTCACAGGGGGACTCTCAGCCTCTGACCAGTGGCAAGTACTCTGGTTCCCTCCATCTCAGAGGGTTATTCAGTGATTTTGTGCTTTGGCCTGGAGGCTGCTCATTAATGCTTAGCTAGGCCCGCTTCCTGGGGCCCAGCAGTAACTCAGGTTTGGGTCTCTATTAGTTGTTATCATTACTGGGGCCCAGAACCATGATTGGAGGGAATGGGTGAGCTACTGAGGACTATTCCCTGCTGGGCCTCCTACAGCCTCTGGGTGTAACACATATGCATCCAATGGTTAATCCATATAAGCCTGGATGTGCATCTGCAGACATACCCACATTGACAGGCACAACCATGCAGCCTCGTGCACAGATCTGGACACATACCCACGTGCTCATCTACACACACAAAGACACACTTGTACCTAAATAAGCACTTGTCTAAAAATTGGTATATATATTTTCACACCACAAGCACCACCATATACAGGAACTCACGCTTTCTTTTTTTTAAAATTGATTTTAGAGAGGGATGAAAGGGAGAAGAGAAAGAGAGAAATATCGATGTGAGAGAGATGCATCGATCAGTTGCCTCCCATACGTGCCCCAACTGGGGACCGAACCTTCGACCTAGGTATGTGCCCTGACTGGGAATCGAACCCACGATCTTCCGGTGCACGGGACGATGCTCCAACCAACCGAGCCACACTGGCCTGGGCAAGGAATGCATGCTTTTAAATGCATTCATGTACACACATGCACATACATATATTCTACACGTACGTGCCACAAATACGCACAAGCACATACACATATCCGAACACACCTGTCTCTTGAAGCAGGGGCTGGACTTGCAGGTGGGGCTTTGCCCATAAATTCAGAGCATTGCTGGGTGATGTCGCTCCAAGCAAATATTGCCAATGCCCACCAAAGACCACTGTCCCTTTGCCTTCCCTCCCCTTGGAGTTAGTTTTGGGGAAGAGGTAGGTGTGTGAGACTTTGGGTGGTTCTCACTTCCTCATTCCCAGAGGAGAAAGGTTGTTAGGGTCAGAGCACAGGAGGGTTTTAACTCTCACACTCCTGGGAGCTTCTTGGACTGGGATGATGTTTGATTCACTTCCATGACCCCAAGGTCCAGAAAAGGTCAGTAAAAGTATGCTGAGCTGAATAGCATCTCTCAGAGCATTTCCAACAATAAATGATTGTAAGGAAATATAGATTCCTTTCCTCCCTCCCTCCCTTTATTGGGTACCTTCTGTATATGTGGGCACAGTGCTGGGTGCTGAGAGTTCCAAGAGAAAACATACGTGGTCTAGCAACTTACCTCTGAGCATGCTTGGGAAGGGAGCACAGGAAAGGCTGCCAGGTGGACAACGGGCTGCAAAGCCTTTGCATGAGGCAGCTCACAATGTATACACAAACAGATCAGTTGGCCTCCCTGTCCCTTTGTTTCCATGTAGACAACTCTCAGGGAGCCATCCTATCTGAATAAACCTTTTCTAGGCTTCAGCTTCTTGATGGGGCCATGCCTCCCCTCATAGGGCTCACCTCAAACACAGCTACCCCAAAAGGGTGGCTCAGGAAGTCGGGGGAGGAAATCAGCATCTTTCTGTTGCCTCCGCTGAAGTCAATGCTGGATAGCTGGTGCAGCTTGGAGTCTACCCAGTATAAGCGCTGGTTCAACAAATCTTAGGGAGGGAAAAGGGGACAGGGGATCAGGTCACGAGCCTGGGACCACAGCCTTGATCTCTGCTCTTCTGTGCCCTGTTCCTGCCCACATCTCTGGGCCAGGCCTCCAGCTGAGGCCATCTGGGGGCAACCAACAGGAAACACAGGCACTGGTACTGTGAGGGGATGTAGAAACGAGACCCATAGGGCTTAGGACAGTGCTCAGGACCAGGTGCTAGAACAGCCTCCAATCTAGGGAAGGTGGAGCTCACCCAGGGTGATTCCGTTGGGCCACTCAATATTGTCTGACACCAGTGTTTGCCGTTCCACACCGTTGAGCCCCGACTTCTCAATCTTGGCCTGATACCCCCAGTCAGACCAATACATGAACCTAAAAGAGAGAAGAAACCAATAGGGCTTCTTGTCAGGGACATGATTGGGGTGGTCTGGATCACAAGGGCTCAATGACCTACTGAATGTTGAAGATTATGCTTAGTAAGGACTGAGAAGACCTCTGAAATCTGTTGGAGCCATCAATCTTAGCATTGGCAGGCACTTTAGCCTTTACCTCATCTGAGTCCTGGGAAGCCTGTATCCCTTGAGTGTCCACCCAGCCTCTGCTGGAAAGCCTGGGAGCCCATCTCTCCCTTCCAGCAGCTCCAGCTGGAGCCCTAGCACTTCAGAGTGGAAAGGGCCCTTGTCTACCCTCTCTTACTATTCTGGTCTACAGAGAACGTGGATGATCTATCAGGGCCACACAGCTAGAACTGTCCAGGGCTTCTCTCTTTTTCCTGAACATTTATTGAATACTGACTGGGCTGAGTGGTTTCACCTCATGTACTAACATCAGGACTATGGAGGAAGTCAAAGGGAGGAACATTTGGGAACATGAGAAAACAGACCAAACAAAACAAAATAATACTTTCCAATGGGCAGAACTATACTGAAACAAAACAGGCCCCAGGGGAAAGAATGAGCTCCTGTCGCTGGAAGTGTGTGAGCAGCCACCAGATGCCCACCTGCAGTGTGAGTCCAGACTTCCTGCCCAGGGGCTTCTACCAGGCAATCTCTAGAGCCCTATTCTGTTCTGAGATGCTCTGATCCTGATATGATGAGTGAGTGGTAGAGTCCCGGAGAACCCCGAAACCAATGCCGAAAGATCCCTTGGTCAGTGGTTAATAGGCTAAGGGGCCTGCACGGACTTTCTTCCCATGGGCTATGTCTATAGCTTTCCAAAGTCCTCAAGATAGATCTTGTGACAGACACATGAGGCCTGAGTAACTGCGTGCCTGCAGAGGGAGAATGGGAAGTTCCAAGTGAGGACACTCACCCTTGCAGGGGGTCAACAGCGATGGCCCGGGGTTCACTGAGGTCATGGCTGAAAAGAGTGCGTCGGCGGCCGCCATCGACTGTGGCCACTGAGATGGTCTTGTTGCCTGAGTCAGTCCAGTAGATGTGCTTGTGGACCCAGTCCACCGCCAGGCCCTCTGGCGAGTGCAGCTGCTCATCAATGAGGACCTCCTGCTCTGCCGGGTCGCTGGCCTTGTCCATGTACGCACTAGGAGCAACCAGAGCTGGCCATGGGGTAGGTGCTCTGCACATGCACCCCTCTGGAGCTGCCTGTGCACTCTCCTGATCTCTTGCCTCTGGGTTATGGCAGTGGATTTTAGAGGAGCTTAGCTAACTTTTATTCAACACATTCCCTGGGCCAGCCACCAGAGTGAGCATATAGGCCGAAATCAGCCAGAACCTCTGGCCCGGAGGAGCTCATTTTAGTGGGGGACAGAAATCTATAGCCAGGTAATTACAGTATAATGTGATTACAGAAACTACTCGGGGCTATAGCAGCAGTGAAATGAAGACAACATCATCCTGGAGGGTTGCAGAAGGCTTTGTAGTTGAGTCCTGAAGGACCAGTTCATTAAGAACACAAAGAACAGCATGTGCAAATGCCCAGAGGTCTGTGCTCTGGAATACGGAATATGATGAGACATTCAGTGGGTTATAAGACTAGAAGTGAGTGTAAGAAGGGGCCACATCAGGACCGGCTCTGGGTGGCATGCTAAGAAGCTGGGATTTTCTCCTGGAGCAGGAAACTGAACAGGTCAGAAGACAGGGTCAGATAGGCATGCTAGATCACCGTGGCACCTGTGGACTATGAGGTGGATCGGAAAGGGCGGGAATGAAGGCAGGGCAACTGGTGAGGAGGCTGTTTACTGCATCCAGGTGAGATGAAGAGGGTCTGCAGGAGGGTTGTGCCAGTAAGAATGGAGAGAAGGGGCTGAGAACATAGGAGACACTCTGAGGGCAGCATTAACAGCCCTTCTGTCTCCCAAATGCTGTTTCTCACAAGGTTTTCTTCTCCCCATAACCTTTCTCTGGGCAGTTAGTTCCACAGTGCCTGCCACCATCCATAACTCTGACTCTCCCATCCTGATAACCCTCTTAAGCTCCAGACTGTAAAGCCAACTGGCCCCCCTTGGATGTCCATGGACACCTTAAACTCATCAAAATTCCTCATCTCCACTCCCTTCCCTTGGCCAGCCAGCCAGACTGCCCTCCCCTGCTGATACTCCTCCACAGCTCCCACATCAGAGCAGCATTGTCCGCAGAACCTCCTGAGCCAGAACCTAAAACTCCCAGAATGAACCTGGGAGTTCTTCCTCCTCAGCCCCATTTTCAGTCGGTCATCAAATCCTGCCTCTTTCAGTAACAACTGTTGGGCAGGTACTGCGCCTTCCGTTTCTCTGTGTGTGTGTGAACTGAGTGTGTGTCTGTGTGTGTTGGGGGGGTGGGCACTGAGTTGTCAGTGAGTAGCACTTGATATATTTGTTTTTACCTATCCATCCGTCTGTCTATCTGCCCATCTACACACCCATCCCATCATTCTTCCAACAGTCTCGCCAGAGCCTGGTCATTGGCAGGTCTGCTAAGTGGCTGGATCTCAGAACAAAGAAAGGCTATGACTGCCCAAAGGGGCCCAGGACATGCAGGAAGGCAGGCCTGCGGTATCTGAGAAAGAGCGAGGAGAGAACTTTGTGTGTGAGGAGCCTTCCTGAGAGCTGAAGTCCACTGGCTGTGGTGTCACAGACACAGTGAAGGGCTGGACTGGGGGTATTGCAACTGGGAAGATTTCCCTGACCCCCAGATTGGGTCAGATGCCTCCTCTATACTTCTCCCTCATGATCATCACAATGGATGTCACTATATTATGAGTGAGCCTCCAGGCAGTCTGAGTCATCTTTGAGTCCTCAGAATCCAACACACAGATGTGTGAAGTGTTTTGAAAGTCCTCACCAAAGCCAGACATTTCTTCCTTCGTGCCCCGATTTCCTGTGTCTTGCACTGACTGCCCCACTAGGCCACCAGGGGGCAGTCAAAGCCCAGGCATGTGGCGCTCAAAGCTGCTCTCCCAACAGAGCTCACGGCCTAGGCGTCAAGCAAGTGAAGTCCTGGCAGTTCCATAACCACTGTGATTCTGTGTCCCTTCCTAAGCCCTAACTCTGTCCTGGGGAATTCTAGGGGCAGAGGGGGCACAGAGGCCACCCTTCCTCTCTTCCTCTGTCAGGCCCTGCCCCGCAAGGCCTGGCTGATGGACACCTGTCACTGCTCACCTGTAGATCTTGCGGTAAGAGAGGTCACACCAGTAGATGCGATTGGTGGCGACTTCGACGTCTAGTGCCACAACGTTCTTGAGCATGGGGATGAGGCGCGAGTAGTCCCGCTTCACCAGGTCTATCCTCCGCACTTCATGCCGGTTGGTGAAAATTAGGGACGGGCTTCTGCCAGCTGCCATGCAGGGAAGGTTGAGAGAGAAAGGGTCAGCGCAAGAAGTGGGGAAGTGGAGACTGAGTCTCTGCCACTGTTTTGCTGGGTGATGCCTCATTTTCCTGTAGAACAGAGGTGACAATTCCTACCTCACAGGTTAGAGGAGCCGACGAAACAATTGTTACAAAAAGCGTAAGATGCAAAAGAACCAAACGTAACAAGGAATCTTTGTCTTTTTATTAGATACAAACTCTCCCAAATCTTTTATGACTCCCCATTTCCTCCTTAGGCTTTTCCTGAAGGCAGTGGGACTCCAAGTGTCATCACTCATCCCTCTAACACACCTCAATTCCAGCCACCAGATTACTGTCATTACCTGGCCACGGCAGAGCTTTGCTGCCTCAGGGCCTTTGTTCACATTCCATCTACCTAGAATGCATTTCTCCACAGCAACTACCACCTCCTCTGCTTAGGGTCCCACTGCAATAGTTCAAGAAGGGGCAACATGAGCATTAAGTGTTTTAGAAAGATGACTGAGGATGGAGGATGGAGGACAGACATCGGAGCTGGGGGTGAGACTTGAGGGAGGAGATTCAGGGAGGTCACTGTGAGTCTTTAGTTTATGCAGAGTGTATCTGGGGACATGAGAGATAAGGCTGCAGAGGTTGGCAGGGACTAGACCATGAAGTGTCCTGTCAGCTGTGTGAAGAGTTTGCATTTCTTTCTGAGCCAACAGCAGGGGTGGGATGTGTATAATATATGACACAGATTATGTATGTGCAATGGGACAGCACGCAGCTGCCTGTGTACACACAAAACCCACTTATGGACTTCGGATTAGATTTCAGGAAGGTCATCAGTGACCTAGACATTCCTGGCTACTGAGGGTCCCCGCGCCTGTTTTGAGATGTATCAGGCCACTCTCAGGCCCCCACGCTGTCTGAGTGGTGACACCTGTACCTGGAGCTGCCTGTGCCTCCTCTCCTTCTTGTTTTCCGGCTGACACTTCTGTAGGCCACCTGGTTCCTGTCACTGTGCATCTGTGCTAGGCTAATGTGTCCCCAGGGGCAGGGTGGGACCAGCACAGAGCCATGTGGGGCCCAGGGCTCCTGTGTGACCGGTATGTAATGATGGAGACTATTTCAGAGCAGGGTGGGGTGAGAAGGAAGGAGTGGCACAAACAGAGTATAGGAAAACAGGGCTGCAAGTGCAGATGAGGATTTGTGTCTGTTTTGCTTACTGCTGAATCCAGTGCCTACGTTAGGCATCCAGTATAAAGGATTAAATAAAGTGAATGAATTTAGTTGGCTGAACTGACCAGTTAGGTCTGCACGTCATGCTCTTTGTGTGGGCTGCCTATGGTGTATGTGTAGTCTGCATGGCCCCGTTTGTCTATATGTTGTGTGTTGTGTGGGTGCAGTTTCTGTGGGCTGTACTGGGTGGCTCTGTGTAGTGTCCATGTGGGTGTCAGTGTGCAGTGTTGCGTGTCTGTGTACACTCCGAACACTGTGTGTGCACATTCACTCCTCACACATATGGAAGCACACTGCTTTCTCTACCTCCTCAGAGCCCCCCGCCCCCGCTTGGGGTATCCATACCGACAGCCTTGCAGTTCTTGGTCAGTGTGTCCATCTCATAGCCTTGGTGGCACTCGCACTTAAAGTAGCCCTTGTAATTGATACAGATCTGGCTGCAGGCATCTGGGTCCTCGCATTCATCAATGTCTGTGGGGAGGAGCAGAGGTCAGAACTGGCAGGAGGCTCTGCCTCTGCTTGGGGGCGTGAGGGGAGGGTCTCACCGCCGCAGGTCTTCTGGTCCAGGAGCCGGTAGCCTGCTGGGCAGGTGCACTCAAAGCCGATTTTGAGGTCAGTGCAGATGTGGGAGCAGCCACCGTTGTTGTGTAGACACTCGTTTAGCCCTGGAAAGGGACACGGGCTCCTGAGGGTCCAGGAGCCCAGCCCGGGTGGTGGCCAGACAGAGGTGGGCCCGGAGCTGAAGCAGAGACTCAGGGCAGCGGGACTCCCATGGAGCCAGGATGCTCTGTGGCCTCACTGAGCCTCAGCCTCATTAACCAGGTGACTGGGCAAGAGGGGGGTCAAGAGGTGCTTAAGGCCAGACACGCAGACAGGGAAAGAGTGGAAGCAGAACTCAGGTCCTTTGCCTCCCAGGCCAGAGCTCTGCCCACCGCCAGGCTGGAGGCAGCTAGGCTGCCTAAGGTCTTTCCTTCACAAACAAGTTTCTTCCAGCTCCTCCTTCCTCGTGACCTTGGAGTTGAAGGGGCCTGCATGCACTACGTCTAACCCTCTGGATACCCCAGTAATCCCTTCTGAAACACCCTTGCCTCAACGTCTGCAGCCTCAGAAGCCGTCTTCCCTCCTGAGGCAGCTGGCTCCACCTGAACAAAGTTCTTCCTCACAGGATCGGCCTCCCTGTAGTTCCTGCTCCCCCTCCCAGCTCTGCTGTGTGGGGCTGACAGGAGTCAAATGGCGTCCTCAGAATCTCCTTAAAGCGCTGATTTCTGATCCCCTACTGATCAGGTACCTTTTTCTGGATACTCTCCCTTTGTCCATGCCCTGCCCTGGACCAGGCCCAGAGCTAGCCCACCACGCAAAAGTCTGAACAATCTTCCTGCATTGAGCTTGTGGTTATCTAAGACTCCCAGGCCTTCTACACTGAGCTGTTGCTAAGTCACTTCTCTCCTACCATGAACTACGATGGATTTTCTCACCTCTCCTCTCAGCACCTGTCTATTCCCACACTTAGTCACAGGCCTGGTCCCAGGACTACCAACTGCTGCAAGGGATGAAGGGATGCCAGGAGGCCATCTGGTCATCCATTCCTGCATCTCCTTCTGGCAGGGTCTTAGAGGAGGTCAGAGAGGCCAGGACCAAGGCTCACCAAGTTCCCACAGCATCTTCTGAGCTTTAGAATCACAGAGGTTAATTCTGCAAGCCAAGGGAAGGTGCCATACCACCCTCTGCCCTCCAGGCTCATGCACCGCCACTCCAGCCAAGCCAAGCAGAGGTGAGCGGAGCCAGCCATGGCCATACAAACAGCTGGTGTGAGCTGCCTACCCCAGGCCATGCACAGCTGTGGGTGCCCCACCTCCAGCCTAAGCCATGCTTGGGGAATGTTCCCCTTTACCCCTGGGCCGCCTCCTGTTTCCCTGAGATGCTGGCAGAACTGAAAGAACAAGACCACAGCAACCCCATGACTGGGGAGGCCTGGGGGTGACTCAACTAGGCCCAGCCCTGGAAGCCCCAGCCCCTTGGCGTGGGCTGAGCCATGGTACCTTTGGGGTGATCTCTGTGGGGCACCACCTCCAGGAATCTGTCACTCCAAGCCCTCCCTGACCTCTCCCATACCATATTATTCCCTCAGTGCCATCCATTCGTTTGTTCACCCACTCACTCCTTGCCTCATGCATGCACCCACTCACTTCCTCTTTCTCCTTTTGCAGGTAGCAGCAACTCAACACTTGTATTTACTGAACACTGATAGAATGGCACATGTAGGATGGCTTGGAAAAGGGAAAAGGGAGAGCCCAGAGTCCTCCAGGGCTGAGGTGGTCAAGGCAAGAATGGGTAGTGGGTCTGGACCTATCTATCCCTGTCCACCCTTCCCGGAAGGCTAGCACCAAGGTGGAGGCTAAAGGGGGATCTCTGGGTCTCCCCAGTTCTATCTAGCCTGGAGGTGATTCTTCTGGGGAACCTGCAGGGAAGGAGAGGGGCATGTGGTCCAGAGAGACCTGAGCAGCACCAGGTCTCCCATGGAAGGAAGGGGCTGTCACTTCCCCAGCACATGTACACACCTGCATGCACACACACACCAGCTTACATGCAGAGGCACAGACAGGCCATGGGCTCCACAGACACATCCACACAGACGTGGGAACACACACAGAGACCATGATGCAATTCCCTTGCCTGACTCCGAGACTGGCCTCTCACCAGCACAGAGACACAAACACATGCGTACATACTTCTCTTTGGTGTGTCATGCAAAAGACAAGAGAGAAGAGAGTTTAGTAGGTTAGTAGTCCTTGGCTAACTCCAAGTCTGGGTGGTGATGAGGTGGGGCTTCGCTCAGTAGCTCCTGCTTCCCCATCCTCTCTTCTATAGGTTTCTTCTTCTAGAACTTTTCTTGGCAGGGTCTTGGGTGGGGGGAGTCTGTGACCTGCAAGCTCAGGTGTAGGCTGTGACCTTTACCCAGCTACTCTTCCTTTCAAAATCGATTTTAAAATCTTCAACAGAAGCAGAAACATGCTGTTCCTATGGCGCTCCAAAGAATGAAGCTCCCCTGAGTGCCCAGGAGGGGAGATGCTGGGTGAAAAGGGGCCTGCCAGGCAGGGATGGAGGGAGGGTCTGACCTAGGCTCTGTTCTCCCAGGAATCCTCTGTCCAAACCTCTGACCTCAGAAATGAACGTTCCTGGAGCCCACACTGGGTTTTCTGCATGTTCCCTGGGATGCCCATCCACCTATAGCCCAGACTCTCCTGTTCTTCCAGCGTGGAACCTACCCTGACAGCTCTGGTCATCAGGACAGCCATCTCCTTCTGCTCCTCACTCTTGTCCAGCCTATAAGTCTGGGTCCCAGGAAGTCTAAGCTCCTCAGGGCTCAGGATGAGGCCACCCTCTGCTGCTGGTTCTGTTCTCCCCTCCCCCAGGCCTAGCCTGAGCCAGATGGCCTTAGCATGTGCCTCCACTGGCCACCTGCCTGCTCTTCCCCACCTGTCCCTCCTGTGGGGGGGGTGGAAGGCCTCAGAGGCCAGGGTCCTGGCTAGGTCAGCAGGGCAGAAATACTGAGTTAGAGAGAAGGTTCCAGAGTGAACACACACTCAGAGGTCGGAATGTGGAAGGAGTGAGGAGGAGAGGCTGGGTTTGTGAGAGGAAGCATAATCTTTGAGCTTCTGGGCTGGAAAGGAAAGGCCCTTATATTTGTAGAGATGCAGAACATGGAGGCCCCAAAGGCAAAGAGCTCCCTCAAAGGCCACAGGACAGTGCAAGAGTCCAGAGAGAGGGTAGGAGCAGGCGAGGGCCTTGGCCTGGCGGCTAGGAAGGGGCATGGAGGGAGGGTTAGTCCAGCAGTTGGATGTAGACAGGTACTGTACCACACTCTTTCAGAGGCTCATCTGACCAGTCCCGGCAGTCCCTCTGAGAATCACACACTTTCCCGCCGTCCACGCACTCGCCACTCTTACACTGAAATCTGCGGGGACCCTCACATGTTGACTCTGTCAGGCCAAACAAGAGAGTGGACAGCACCTGTGAGACCTTCAGCAGGAAGGGCTGGGCTGGGCCCATGGAAGGTTGGAGAGCTCCAGCCCCAGCGTCTCTGGAGGGTGGCCCAGGACAGACAGCTGAATGCAGGGCTGGTGGGAGCTCTGCTCACAGGACAGGACCCCAGGGATGATCAGGATGCCCAAGCATCATGTAGCTGGGCAGGGCTGGGGGTCTGTGTCTGATATGGTAGCACGGAGGCCCAGGGAGGGAAAAGCAGCAGCTCAGCAGAGACCCTGGGGCTGGACTGATCACCTCTGAGGGAGATGTATGTCTCAGGGGCCCTGGTTAGGGGAAGCTGCCTTACTGCCCATTTCCCCAGATGACCAGTAGGTTAGGGTCCCTGCCCCTGCAGGGGGTGAGTGATGACTAGAAGAGCCATCTGAGAATTAAGACCCCTTAGGACAGCCTCTGCTCAGTCTGGGAACTAGTGAGGAAAGTCCCTTGGAGACTTGGACGTGGACAAATGGTGGGGCTGGACTTCCTGCAGTGCCCTTTCATGATCCTCTAGGCTTTTTTCAGCTTTTGCTAAGTCCTTAAAAATCTAGGATCCCAGGGAGGGGATCCAGGTGGTTTGGGGGCAGATGATGCTCTGGGGAAAGATGCATCTCAGGCATCAAGGGGAGGCAGCTTCCAACTCTGCTCTCCCTGTTGGAGTTAGGGGAGAGCTCGGGATTCTCATGGAAGATGCTGCCCCTCTGCCTTTGACCACACGCACCCTTTAGGCAGCCAGCTTCATCACTCCCATCCGGACAGTCCTGTTCCTGGTTGCAGCGCTTGATTGCAGGGACACAGGTCCCATCCCCACACCGGAATTCGTCTCCACCGCAGGTCCCCAGTGCTGCCAGGAGAGGGCAAGGAGAGAGGGTCAGGGCCAACATGGTGTTGGGACAGTTCTCCTGCCCCCAACTCCATATCCACCCCTGGCAAGAACAGAACCAGTGGCTGAGCTTGGGAGTCCCTGAAGGACACCTGACCAAGGCACTACCAGTGTATAGATGGGGAGACTGAAGCTCAGAGAGGGGGAAGGCCTCACCGAGGGTCACACCCAGAGCCGGGACTAAAACAGGTCTCCTGTTTCTCCACTGACTGCCTCCCCAGGGCTACCCCTCCAGCGCGGACACACGGCCTTCTTTTCAGTCTTAGTGCTCATCTCTGAATGACCGTCCCTTCAGCAAACCCTTCCCGCGCCCCCCTGTGTGCCAGGCGCTGTGCCAGGTGCTGAGAACCCAGAGACTACTAAGAGCTTCCCCATCGTCTAGGAGATCGAGGGTGAGGGTGCAG